TTAGAAAAAATAGATAATATGATAGATTATTTTAGGTTATAATCGATCATTAACATACGTAAGACAGTGGTTTACGGTTAACCGCTATCTAATATATATTTTTAAAAGCGGTTCAGAGTAACCGCTATCTAAGGTCTGTGGTATGTGGTTCAATAGTCGCTCAAGCGACGTATTGAACGCTTGAGCGAAAAATGATTCTAATATGTGGTGAACCAACTTAAATTATTTGGCTAACTGCGTTTGACGTTTCGCATTAGGTACAAACTCGCTCAACCGATAAGATATCGCTCGAGCGACGCAGCCTAAAAAAGGGAGACTCTTCCATCTCGCTCAAGCGAATTTTTGAAAGCTTGAGCGAAAAGTGATTCTAATATGTGGTGAACCAACTTAAATTATTTGGCTAACTGCGTTTGCGTTTCGTCATTGGGTATAAACTCGCTCAAGCGATAAAGTTATCGCTCGAGCGACGCAGCCTTCAAAAAGGGAGACTCTCGGGTTCTATCTCGCTCAAGCGACTTTTTGAACGCTTGAGCGAAAAGTGATTCTAATATGTGGGGAACCAACCTAAATTATTTGGCTAACTGCGTTTGACGTTTCGTCATTGGGTATAAACTCGCTCAAGCGATAGGTTATCGCTCGAGCGACGCAACCTTCAAACAATTGAGACCTTCAAACACTGATTCCCAGTGGCAGAATTGTTGCACTGAAAAAGCTTCACAAAGCAGAATCTGAAAATCCATCCTTTTACAAGAGCTTTTGCAACGAGACCAACATCTTCACAGAAATTCGCCATCGTAACATCATTAAGCTTTATGGCTTTTGTTTGCATAACAAGTGTATGTTTTTGGTGTATGAGTATATGGAAAGGGGAAGCTTGTTTTGCAACTTGTCTTATGATGTGGAAGCTCAAGAGCTGAATTGGAGAAAGAGGATAAATATTGTTAAAGGGATATCTATTGTCTTATGATGTGGAAGCTCAATTTAAATATTTTTAAATTGGGACTTTAGATAGCGGTTCTGGAAACCACTATCTAAACCTACTAAAAAGAGCGGTTCTACATATAACCGTTATTAAAAGTATGTTTTAGATAGCGGTTAACATGGAGCCGCTATTATAGGTTTACTTTTAAGAGCGGTTAAAATATTAACCGCTCTGCAAAGTCAATCAAATGTCGCTTGAGCGAGACTATAGTCGCTCAAGCGAAACACAACCCGATAATTACCACTCTATCAGGTGGCTTCGCTCGAGCGATGATAAATTCGCTTGAGCGATTTTACAAAATGAGAGAATATGATCGATTATTATAGCTTATAGTCGATTATTCCCAGACCTTAGACATCGGTTAACGTTTAACCGCTATCTAATATATATTTTTAAAAGCGGTTCTTATTAACCGCTATGTAAGGTCGCTTCGGGTTCAGTCGCGCTCAAGCGACTCTGTAATCGCTTGAGCGACAGTTGAATCTTATATGTGGTGAACCAAGATTTATTAGATGGCTAACTGCGTAGGACGTTTCGTCTGTTGTTCACCAGTCGCTCAAGCGAGGATGACATCGCTTCAGCGGTGGAACCTTAACCAAATGGAACCCTCGCCTTCACAGTTTGGGGCTATCACCGGCTATCACCTCCTTCGTGGTCACAGCTTGGGTACTTGAAGAAGTCGCTTCTGAGTTTTTCTTCTGAGTGGGTACTTGAACCATCATATTAAAATTCAAAACCGAAATCTCCAACCATAATAAACTCGCTCAACCGATAAAGTTATCGCTTGAGCGACGCAGCCTTCAAACAGGGGAGACTCTCGGGTTCTATCTCGCTCAAGCGTTGTTTCGCACGCTTGAGCGAAAAGTGATTCTAATATGTGGTGAACCAACTTAAATTATTTGGCTAACTGCGTTTGACGTTTCGTAATGAGGTATAAACTCGCTCAAGCGATAAAGTTGCCTCAAGAAGAAACTAGAAAGCTCAAACCAGTTTATCCAAATCTGCAGAGAGTTTCTTCTTCAAAAGAATGCAAGTTGCCTCAAGAAAGATTTTCAAAATAACTTAAAAAAAAACTGTTGCGAATCTTTCTTGAAAAAGTGCTAAAGTTGCTGGATTGAGTGAAAATCGTTTTAATCGAGTGAAATTCGTTTTAATCGATTGAAATAATTCTGATCGGTCATAATTCAATTATGATCGATCATAATAAACTCTGATCGGTCGTAATTTCATTCTGATCGATCATCCTGACTTCCAAAGTGGTTTTAATCGATTGAAACGTTTTTTAATCGATTAAAATAGTTCTGATCGCTCATATTTGAATTCTAATCGGTCATAAAGAGTTTTAAAGGGTTTTAATCGATTAAAAGAAGTTTGTATCGATTAAAATACTGTAAAAACACTTCTTTAAACATTCTAAGTGATTTTAATCGTTTCTTTCAAAGCATTATCAGTCAAAAACATTATTAAGAAAGTTCTTTGTCAAAATGCTTTTGTTTTTTATTTGTTGAAAACTATTTTTGAGGCATTTTGCAAAATGAATGAAGAAACTTTATGCAGCAGAAAAGGTTAAGCGACAGAACCTTCAAATTTCAATCTGTTTTTTGTTAAGCGCATTCTTTACAACTATTAAGCATGAAGTTATCTGTTATGTACAAAGATGATACAAATATTTATAATGTCATAATATTTAACATTTAAATGATCCATAACCAACTTAACAATTATATTACATATGAGTACAATATTCATCAATGAAGATGAACAAATAATCAAATACAATATCTAAATTTCTACTCCTACATGAGGATGTTAACTCCTGATTCAATAACCATGACTTGTCGATGGAGATTTTGAGGATGAAGTACCCATCTGCATACATATTCTTCTCGAAATTTCCGAACTTGCTCCTGTACAATATGAAGAATGTCATAATAAATTATATTCATAGTAATAAAAAACAAAACAATAATACAATGACTTGAATGTTTACCGATGTGTAATGAGGCATGCTTCTCCCATTCACTTTGCTCACACCATCCCACAACTCCATATATTTTAAAACAAACAATCCACAATCATATCTGCACAATTGAATGTAGTTATTACACACGTTACATACAACATTTTGCAAACAAAATTTCAACTATAATAACATACTAACATGTTTGGTTGAATTGGCAAGTCCTCCTTTGTAACCTTAAGTTCTCCAGTGGTCCTCGATGACTTTGTTTCCAACAACGACAATAGATGTTCAAAACATTGCAACTGTTCACAATATTACATTAATATAGCATCACAACTCAATAAACCCTAAACCGTGAAAAACACATTGATTACAAACCCAATCAAAGATAATCAGAAAAGAAAACAACAGTGGAAACCCAATAAAAAATACACACAAAATCAAGCAAATGTTGTTAAACGAACACTCACCACCGCAGGGTCGCTCAAGCAACACACAGTGATGTTCAGCTCCGAGGGAGAAGAAGTCGAGCGAGGAAGAGCGGGAATGTGAAAAGCGCCCTTTTTCTAACATTTAGATAGCGGTTATTTGGCCAACCGCTATCTGAACTATACATTATGATCGATTATTATCCAATTATAATCGATTAGATTGACATATATGACTTTAGATAGCGGTTATTTGGCCAACCGCTATCTGAACTATGCATTATGATCGATTATTACCCAATTATAATCTATCAGTTTTACATATATGACTTTAGATAGCGGTTAATTGGCCAACCGCTATCTGAACTATACATTATGACATATATGACTTTAGATAGCGGTTATTTGCCCAACCGCTATCTGAACTACATTTATTATAGCGGTTATTTTGCCAACCGCTATCTAAGGTCGCCTCGCGCTCGAGCGACTATGTAATCGCTTGAGCTGCAGCATGGCAGTTGAACCTTTACCAAACGAAACTAAACTCCTGCAAATCCTGGAAGGAGAAAAGTGTACCCTTGAGTTACTTTTTCTCATATGAGCTCGTACAAAGGCGCCAAGAGCTTTCTTATTCACTCTTGGCGGGGACTACTACTGGGAAACCAAACGAAAGGAGTGAAAACTTTTTATGCTCGTTGGTCGCTTGGGTTACTCCGCTCTCGTCTATGCCCTTGGTGTGACGCACTGGGTATCGATTTGACTTTCGGATCTTTAGGTGGCACTCACTGGCCCCGTCTTTGCTCTACAAACTCATGGAAAGGCGAGAGCCTGGAAGCCAGGAAGAACGAGCCCTTCAATTCTTCTATAACATCCCCCATTTTTACAATATTACATATCTGAACCCATACAATTTTACTAATCAAACCCTTATTTTTAATTAATTTCTTTTTAGCCCGGTTGTCTAACAGCTTGTTTGTTTTCGGTTGTCAAAAATCGTTTTCAGTGTAAATAATGTTCCAGATGTGCTATTTTGGGAAATATTTTTAAAAAGAGTATTATTTAGATTAAAAATGAATTTTTTTAAGTTTAAGATTTAGGGTTAAGGTTTAAACTTTACATTTTAAAACTAGTTTTTAGTGTCTATGGACTAAAATCATACATTTTCAGTTTTGAGAAACAGGTTTTTTAAATTTGGGGAGCAAAATCAAATTTACTACAAATTTCGTGACCTTCAAACATAATGAAACCATTTTGCTTTTCGTGAAAAAATACCAAAGGAAGTGGAGGGTTTCTTTAAACAAGGGACTGGGTCAATTATTCAATCAAATGATATTGAGCATGTTTCCCATCTCTTCTTGAGAAACAAGCGGACTATTTCTTTGCAAAATTGTGCTCAATGTCAGGATTTCTTATAATCATCTTAAAGTAGGATAGAATTAGACAATTAGTAATGTAAACAACATAATCCGAAACACTTGGGACTGACTGGGATTTGAATATCGAAGAGCAGGAAGAAAGCCGAGTATTTGAATATCAGGTTTTCTCTTTCGACTTTACAAGTCTTCATATATTGTAAAAGTTTCTACTCCGTCATACTTCACCATAGTTTGTATGTTAATAACTCCCATTAGCCACTTCCATCAAGTTGTCCAAGAGAAAGGAGGTGTGCCATGTATTGCTGTAAGAAGCCACAGACGTCATAACTTTTTGTTAGTTCTATAAAAACTGTAGAGATAAAAAAAATGGATGACGGTAACAAAATTCAACAAACATAGAAGCATGGTTGAAATTATGCTATAAGATTTTATCCAAAAAATAAAATAAGAGTATTCTATTGGGTTTTGATAAATTAATTGGTCATAGCTTTCAGCAACAGCAATTCAAATGAAAAATACAGTTCTGCCATATCTGCTATTTCTTGGTTATACAAATGAACATAGAAACTCCTCCGACCAAATGAAGGTCTGTCTACTTTGACTGAAAAAGTCATAATCCGGGGCGTTCTACTTCAGTTTTAAACTAGTCTCAGGTGCTGTGAGAAATACAAGGAAATCATGTTTATCATCCTCCATATCTGGAATCTAGATTTGTCCTTAACCATGGTCTTAGTTGCAATCAAATTGCAAATGCAAACAAAAGCATTGGCAATTGTGGTAAAAAAACTCCAAAAACCTCTATGTTGCTGTCAAAACTGTCATCAGAGACTTTTTTTTTTAATTCAGGATCTTCCTTAGACACTAAAAGAAAAAAATCTAATATTCTACAGAAATTATCATTTCAGAAGCCAGTTTTTATGCAATTTTTCAAACACATTCCTCTCGCAGACCTCTCTGTCATTCCAGAGAAGACCACAATATGTCACTCACAATTCACAAATCAATCCCCTGTCCACCACCCAAAGGGAGAAGAATAATCCTATCCAATAGTATCCCCCAAATTGTCGCTAAAAACGCAAATCCCCAATTCAATAAGAATCTTCTTCTTTGCAGTAGCATTCATGCAAAAGTTAAAGTTAAAGCAATTCATAATACGCCCTTCGGCATCATATGCATGCATGTGAGCATCATACCGCATGATAAGCATATGGCGACTTCCCTTGACGCTCGAAGTGTTTCGCCATGATGCAGTACTCAAACGGACCCCACTCTTCAACTTCGAAGCAGTTTCCAAGTGCAGCTTTGTACAACTGAAACAAATTTCGAACACCAAAATCACACTTTTGGTAAAAACAACATGCTCTAATTTTCAGATTGATTACATTATGCGAAAGAAAATACCTTGGTAGTGTCCGTTAAAAGCTCGGTACCAGCGGGGTACGACGCGTAGAATTGATCGGCTCTAGAGTAACCAGCCCTTGTCGTATTGCTGACGTAAGCGTAGCTTATGAGCGTCGCGAAGCAGTAGAACCCAGTATACGACACAAATCTTCGGAACTTCTGAATCTTCACTATCTCTCTCAACTCTTCGTAGATCCTCATCGCGGTGACAAGTTAGTTAGTTCCTCTCAAAAACAACGAAAGGAAAGTAATCAAATACTTGGTGTGCGCAAGCTTGGGGATTATATTGGGCCTCACCTTGAGCCCCAGCTACTGGGCTCTAGCCCAGTTCCCATAAAACATGAAGATATTTTCAGAACTATAAATATAAAGATAATTTATAATTTTATTATCCATTCCCGCGACGTTCCCCAAACCGGAAAATGACCCTCCGTCTCGTGTCAGCTCCGCCATCGTTCTCACTCTTCACTTGCCGCGCCACTTGCCGAGCCTAGTGTCGCTCAAGCGAAATACAACACAAGAATCCCAAAGTTAGCCGCATAATGTAACTTGGGCGACCACATGTTTGAATCGGATATCGCTCGAGCGATAATCCTGTCGCTCAAGCGAAACACAACCCGATAATCCCCATTCTTAGCAGTTGGCGTCGCTCGACGATGTGAGTTTCGCTTGAGCGACATTAGAAAAATGCGATAATATGATCGATTATTTTAGGTTATAATCGATTATTAACATACGTAAGACAGCGGTTAACGGTCAACAGCTATCTAATATATATTTTTAAAAGCGGTTCTCAGTAACCGCTATCTAAGGTCGCTTCGTGACTAGTGGCGCTCAAGCGACTATACAATCGCTTGAGCAACAGTTGAATCTTATATGTGGTGAACCAAGATTTATTAGATGGCTAACTGCGTAGCACGTTTCGTATGTGGTTCACCAGTCGCTCAAGCGAGGATGACATCGCTTGAGCGATGGAACCTTAACCAAAGGGGACCCTCGGGTTCACAGTTATGATCGATTATTATGCAATTATAGTCGATCACTTTTACATATATGACTTTTTATAGCGGTTATTTCGCCAACCGCTATGTTAACTACATATAATATATTCTTTTTAAAAGCGGTTCTTAGAAACCGCTATCTAAGGTCTGTGGTCTGTGGTTCAATTGTCGCTCAAGCGATGGAGTCATCGCTTGAGCGAAGATGCGTTCAAACAAGGGTACTCTCGGGTTCTGTCTCGCGCAAGCGACGGTGCACTCGCTTTAGCGAAATGTTATTCTTATATGTGGTCAACCAAGTTAGATTATATGGCTAACTGCGTTGGACGTTTCCTGATAGGTTAACAGTCGCTCAAGCTAGGTATCATCTGAAAGTGATACTAGCATAGATCTCAGTGATTTGATGAAGTCAAAGATAAAGTCAAAGGTCAACTCTGCAACAGTCAAACAAGTCACTCAGAAGAATGGAGCTGAAGAATTAGTGTGTCTTAACAGAAAGCTTAGGTAAAACCACTTTACCTTTTCCACTGCATGAAGCTCCTTCACTCAATTTGCAAAATGCCTCAAAAATAGTTTTAAACAAATCAAACAAAAGCATTTTGACACAGAACTTTCTTAACAATGTTTTTAACTGATATAGTTTTAAAAGAAACAATTAAAATCACTTAAAATGCGTAAAGAAGTGTTTTTACAGTATTTTAATCGATACAAACTTCTTTTAATCGATTAAAACCCTTTATGACCGATTAGAATTCGAGTATGACAGATCAGAATGAAATATAATCGATCAGACTTTAAAAATGAGCGATCAGATTTATTTTAATCGATTAAAACACGTTTCAATCGATTAAAACTACTTTGGAAGTCAGGATGTTCGATTAGAATCCGAATATGACAGGTCAGAAAGAAATATAATCGATCAGACTTTAAAAATGAGCGATCAGATTTATTTTAATCCATTAAAACACGTTTCAATCGATTAAAACCACTTTGGAAGTCAGGATGATCGATCAGAATGAAATTATGACCGATCAGAGTTGGTTATGATCGATCAGAATTGGATTATGACCTATCAGACTTATTTCAATCGATTAAAACGAATTTCAATCGATTAAAATGACTTGAAAATTTTTGTACAGAGTTTCAATCGATTAAAATAACTTGGAAAATCTTTGTACAGAATTTCAATCGATTAAAACGCGTTTCAACCGATTAAAACAACTTAGAAAAATTCTGTGCAGGTTTTTAATCGATTAAAACTTCTTTGTATCAGTTAAAATAACTTGAAAAGTTTTATGAGAAAGTTTTAAAGTAAATCAATCGATTAAAACGGGAATCAATCGATTGAATCACTCTCAGAAAATGTTTGTAAAATGTTTTAACTGATATAAACATGGTTGTATCAACTAAAACCATTCTGTTAAAGAAACAAGAACGCATTAATGGGTTGAAAGGACTTTTAACAGATTATAACGGCTATTTCAACAGATTAAAACAAACTTTCAACAGATTAATTAATGCAGCAATTTTTGAAAATTCTCTTTAAAAACAGTTTTGCTTGAAACTTTTAAAAAGTGATTGAACATCAGTTTTTACACATCCAAAGCAATCAATTCAAGCAACTGTTAGCATTCTTTTCCAAGAAAGATTCGCAACTGTTTTGTGAACTTCTTTTGAAATCTTTCTTGAGGCTTATTGCATTCTTTGAAGGAGGAACTTACAGTGGATAAGCGTAATCCGGTTTGAGCTTTCTAAGTTTCTTCTTTTCAATTGCTTTTCATTTCTTTGTATTGTGTTGTACCTGGAATTTGGGTACAAGTTTTCTGCAGCTGGTAGGTGGTTGTAGAAGTTTCCAAGAACTGGAATTTGGTTCTTGGTGGAGAGGTTGAGTACAGGAACTGGAATTTGGTTCTTGTACTGTGTGGTGCCTGGAATTTGGGTACTAGGTTCTCTGCGGCTGGAATTTGGTTGCAGAGGTTTCCAAGAACTGGAATTTGGTTCTTGGTGGAAAGGTTGAGTGCAAGAACTGGAAGTTGGTTCTTGTGTTAGAGTAGGTGTAAGATTGTTGAGTCTGTAAAACATCTATTCTAGTGGAACCCAGCTGGAATTTGGCTGGAGACTGGACGTAGCCCTGGTATTGGGTGAACCAGTATAAAATACCGGTGAAATCTTTCTTAACCTTCCTCTCTTTAATTTCAGTTGCTGCGCCTAATATTGTTTGATTGCTTGGTAATTCAAAAAGATTTTTAGAAACTTAATTTTCGAATTAGATAATCTGAGATTTGCGAAAAACTTTCAAAAGATCAATTCACCCCCCCTCTTGATCTAAAACTACTTTTCTAACATCATCGCTCGAGCAACGGTACTTCAAACAATGGAGACTCTCGGGTTCGGTCTCGCTCAAGCGACGTTATTAGCGCTCGAGCGACACGTTATTCGAATATGTGGTGACCCATGTCATATTATGTGGCTACCTGCGTTGGACGTTACGTTTACGTCCAATAGTCGCTCAAGCGAAAATATCTTCGCTTGAGCGAGGTACCCTTACAAGGGTTGTTTCTCGCTCAAGCGACGTTGTTCTCGGTCGAGCGGCAACTGATTCAAATATGTGGTTATCCATGTTACAGTATGTGGCTAACTGCATTGGACAATTCGTCTGTGGCCAAGGCTGAACTTGAATGAGACGTGACATGCAAATTTCAATCTGTTTTTTGTTAAGCGCATTCTTTACAACTATTAAGCATGAAGTTATCTGTTATCTTCATCTTCATATGTTCGTAAAATATAAATCTGGTAGTAATTAAATGTATTTTGTACAACTGTGGTTCTCAATATACACTCTCTGTTACATGGAGATAGTCTGCATCATCTGAATTAACTATATTACCTAGGTAAACAACTTAAAACAAATGTTTACCATAGCTCTATCAATTGGTTTTCGTGATCTATTATCATGGCCCAACGAATCTAATATAAACAGTTCTCTATCGATGACTTATTCATGTGAATCCCGATTTGTTCTTTCAAAATTTTAACTTCACGTTCAAGTTGAATGATCCTTTTTTGATTTTCTTCTGTTTTAGATCTCCATATGCGCTGGTCCGATAAAAGTTGTTGCAAGTCACATGACGCACCACTGGAGGAAGGTATGTCCGTATTCTCAATTTGTGAATGCGTCAAAGCTTCTTGCACAACTTTCATTGTCTGATCATCCACAGACAGTGCCCAATCCCATACAATCTAACATATAAAGGAAAATTTTATATGTTAGGAACATAATATAATAAGTCCACATTTTTAAGGAAAATTTAGCACAAAACACAAGATAGCATAATCTCAAAGCAGGAAAAGAACAAAAAAGGACCAACCGGGCTAGAGGGGTCCAATGAGATGTGTCGGCGGCTAAATCTGGTTCCTCTGGTGTTTGCAATCCACACATCAAAGCCATTATCAGCTAAAATCAAAGGTAGGTCTTGCTCTGGAGGGTTCAGAAGCCATGTCATACCATCCTGCATCCATCATCAATCATCCTTTAACTTCAACTAAATTACCCTAAAACACTTTTACTATTTAGTTTTTATGAACTTTATTTTTAAACAATACAAAGAATAATGAAATATATCTTTTGTTCCGATATAAGTCTCGTGTTGTTTAAAGCAGAAGTTAATATTTTAATTTCTTAAATGAAATTGGGATACTATTCTTCCTTGACGGTGTTAGAATTTAAATATGAACAGAAGTCACAAGTTAGAATAGAAATGGTAAGGTTTAAACCCCTTGTAAAATCCTCAATGGAACTGATCTTGATGAGTATAGTAAAATTTAAAGTCAACATTTTCTAAATCTTAAAGTGCACTCTCCATATAGTGGGGATCATGTGTCTATGCTATCTTGGTTGGGAAGAAACAAAACTTTTGTTAATTCGCGTGACAGAACTGCATAATCTAAATCTATAAGCCATGACACTAGGAGTGGGAGTTACTATCATTGCTTGATAATTCAAACTGTGCATAGATTTTTTTAGTTTGTTGAATTTTATAAGCATAAAGCTATCAAGGAAATATTAAAATATATTTAATACTTTTTTTTTATTTAGTGAGAAGAATAAAATTATTCACACGCATCATGACTCTCGTGTGTTTTGAGTGTTAGATTGAAAAAGAAAAAAAAAAGGTTATTTATGTCTTCTTCATATTTCATAAT